TGTGTCCATAGCAGTGTTATTGACAACAGATAAGGTTTGGAGGCAGCCAGGAAAAGCTGTGGCACAGTTACACAAAGGAATACCACTCGGCCACAAAAAGAAGGAAATCTTACCTTTTTGGATGGACCTGGAGAGCATTATGCTAAATGACATAGCCAGTCAGAGAAAGATAGGTACTGTGAGTGATTTTACTCATATGTGGACTCTAATGAACAAAATAAACAAAACAGAATCAGACTGACAGTTGTCAGAGGAGAGGGGCTGAGTGAAAAAGTGTAGAGATTAAAAAAAAAAGCCTCCAACATCTCATAGATATGGACAACAGTGCGGTGATTACAAGAGGGAAAGGGGGAGGGGAGGAAGAAGGTAAAGCGTGACAAACAGGGACAGGAGACTTGACTTTGGGTGGATACACATTACAAATACAGAGAATGTATCATAGACCTGTACATTTGAAACCTATATAACTTTATTAACCAACAACTAGTGGCCTGGTGTATGAAATTCATGAACATTAAAAGGGGATTAGAGGAAATAATTTAATATTGCTATTTGCCCTTTATCTATAAGTGTCAGAGATGAAAGAAAATTAGTAAAATGTATATGAAAACCTCCTGTCAGTCTGGGGCGCACTACGGGACCCAGAGTCAAGTCCTCGCCCACCCACATGTGCCTCAATATTGCGTGAGACCCAGACCCAGCCAGTTCCCACCCCCATTGGAATAGATCCAGATCTGGCCAGTCCCACCCTTGTCAAGCCCTGTTGGGCCGGGGCATAGCCTCAGGTCCCCTGGCCCGGTGCCAGGACAAGGGTTGGGGGGGTGATAGGGCTAGAGGTGTGTGGCCTGAGGTCCCCCAGCCCAAACTGGGGCAGGGGGCATGCCTTGAGGTCCCCCATCAAGCCCCGCTGTGTGGGGGAGCGTGACCTGAGGTGCCCTGTCAAGCCCCACAGGGGGCGGGGGAGGGCGTAGCCTCAGGTCCCTGCTGATTGCTCATTGAGGCTCCTATGGGAACTTGGCTTCAGCTGTGGGTGCAGCCATCTTTGTGACAGTGATGGTCACTTAGCACATTCCCTCTTTATTAGATAGGATGTCACTCCGATAAATTCAATAAACATACTTAAAACAGAAGACAAACGATGAGGGTCTTCAGGCAGTCATTTCAAGTCTCCCCATGGGTCTTCCACATCTGCCCTTCCAGGATGCTCCTCTCGCACTGGGCCGTGCCGGGAAGGCTGCTCTGGGCTGGCTGACGCTGAGCCAGCTGCTCCCCAGAGCTCCGTGGGAACTCCAAGCTGGGATGAGAGTTCACGGTCGCTGGATGTTCCCACCAATTAAGGAAACTGGTGTGCCCACAGTGGTTAGAAGGCTGAGGCACTGCAGTGCGCCCAGAACCGCAGAGGCAACCACACCGAGACAGCGCGGGGCCACGGCCTGGGCTGCTGGGCCTCCGGGCACAGAGCACTCCGCACGGACAGTGGCCCCCGGGCCCTGCCTCGGCAGCACGGGGTTTCCTACCCGATGCCCAATTCAGCACCAGCCAGACAGCGCATCGACCCGAGTGTTGGGGTCAGGGGTCAGGGCCTCCCCGATGGGCCCCAAACAGTGGGCAGTGGGAAGCAGGGGAGTGAAGATTCTAGAAGGGGCAGCTTCCTGTCTCCTCTTCTGTGGGCACGGCTCCGAGTGACACCTGAACAGCACACATCACCTGAGCAGTCGGCAGGCACACAGGCTGGTGCCAGACACACCCATCGCGGACCTTCCTCTGAGCACTGCCTCTCGGACCCCGCTCCTGTGTGCTCCCAGGACCAGCGCTCCGCTGAGGGGGCCACGGGGCTGCCGCCCACCCACCGCCCGCTCCGGCCCGGGTGCCCTTCCCAGGGAGAGGCTGGAGGTGGAGGCGGAGGAGCCGCTGGGACCGCCATCCTCTCTGCTGCTTCTGGTGGCGCCAGCTCAGAGAGCCGCCTGGCATCACCGCCCAGCAGGCATGAGGACATGGAGACACTCGTTGGGAAACAGTCTCACGTGCACCTGGTAGCTGGAGAAATACTAACAAATGTCACTGAGAAGAATTCAGTCAGAAACAAAATATATTTATTAGAAATAACACAGCCATTCATCATACACTCTCAGTTGATCGTGAACCAGCTCCGCTGGCTCGGCCGCCCTGAGGACCTGGGCCACCTGTGGCTTGTGCAGCCGCCAGGCGACAGGTGTGTCAGCTGCAAACAACTCCGGTCGTGAACAGAGTGAGCGCTCGGCCCTCAGCAACGCGGACCGGCCAGAGGAGCGGGCGTTACAACAGCGCCGGCCCTGCTTAGTCAGTGGTAACACTCAGAGAACCGGGCTCTGAGAGTGAAAACACGCTGAGCACGGCATGCCTCAGAATGGCTGAGCTCCGGGATGGGAAGGACGGGGCTGGGTTTGGCAAAGGGGCTGCACTCACAGACCCGACCTAAATGCCTGCCGTCAGCGGGAAGAGGCGGCTCAGTGCCAGGCGGCCGAGCACGTGGGAAGTGCACTCAGTGGAACACCCGCCACCAACAAAAGCTGTGACAACACCACATGGAGAAGGAATCCCCTCGCTGCCACCCTCTCCACAGCAAGGGTTCCAGGGCGGGAAGTGTGCGTGTGCGGTTCCCCAGGGCGCTTCCGGCGGCAAGGCTGGCCAGTGCCGAGAGCAACCACGGGCCAAGGCCACGACACCACCCGGTGCAGAGACCATGCACTTCTGTTAAAAGCCCCGCCCGCTTTTAACTGTCTGTTAACTGTCTGTTAAAAGCCCCGCCTGTTAAAAGCCCCGCCCGCTCCTATGGTCTGTTAAAAGCCCCGCCCGCTCCTATGGTCTTCATATTGCACGTGCCTTTTATATAAAAATAGTGCATTGAAAAGAGGGTCTGCAGAACCACCAAGCACCACTGAGCAGGGGCTATTGGAAACAAAATGACACAGCTTGCTGATGCCGCCTTGGTTTCTATTTATCGATTTCCCACATTCCCCTGGTGCTCTGAGCTCTCCAACTAAAAGCAGATAAAAAACCCTGTTCTGTGGCTCCCCCCCGGCTGGAACAGCTTCTCCCCAGACCCTGCAGTGCCTGTGGCCTGGCTCCCAGCTGCCTGTAGGCCCTCGCACCCCGCAGGGCCAGACCTGCTCTAACCACTGTGCTGTCCGACAGAGCACAAGCTCCCTCCACACGTGCCCACCAGCAACAAGTGGTAGTACAGGAGCTTTGTTTTATTATAAAAATAAGTTGGCACATGGTCTGCCTCTTGTGTGACATTTCCCCTCTTCTTAACCTGAAGGCGAGGGCCCCGCACGGAGGAGGGGAAAGGCCAATCCCTGAGCCTGTGCTGAATCCTGTGGAGTCACTACCCCAGGGCTGAGGGTGCTGACCCCGCCCTCCCCAGGCTTCAGGGTCTCTCCTGCACAAAGCCTCCACCCGCTGGCTCTCTGCCCCACAGCGGTGGGGACAGGCAGAGCTGTGGGAGAGACAAATGTCCAGCAGGAAGCGCCCAGCAAGGCTTTCACTTGCTCATTCGAGGAGGAGGGGCCTCCTTCAGACTGCACCCCTCTTCCCCCAGAAAGCGAGGGCCAGGTGTGCAGGCAGAGCAGCACCTGCCGGAGCCCTCTCCTCCGGCTTGGGGCCTCGGACAACGCGCAGGACCACACCTGATGGGCAGGCCGGGCGCTCCCTGCGCCCAGGAGACTCCAATGAGGAACCTGCACAGCGCAGAGGGCGGTGGCCGCCGGCGGCCTGGAGGGAGGGCCGGACTGGCCTCTCCCAGGACGGGCTGGGCCTGAGCCTCCGGCCCGGCTGGGACAGGCCCCCATGAGGACTGACTTAGGCAGGGACAGTGCTGTTGTAACTCCGTGGCCTGACAATGACCCCCGTCTGGGGCACCAACACAGCGATGGGCACCTTCCTTAGCAAGTGAAGGGCCTGATGAGCTCACCCCCATTTACCCCATGTGCCATGCAAGGTGCCCGCCGAGAACACCAGAGAACCCGGGGGCTCAGAGTCCCTCCCAGGCGAATGGGGCTGCCAAGGGGGCTCTGCTGCCCTCAGTGACCAAACAGAGGAGCTGCCTCCCACCCTGTTGCCACGCAAACAGGAAGGCCAACTGATGTATTAAACGCTGAACAAGTCTAACGCTGACACGTTTACATTTGCTGTCTGCCCAGGATCCCAAGAAATACCCCTGTGGGCGGTTTCACCGCACAATTACCCCAACCCCCGCAGACTTCGCGATTTCACACGAGTGTCTTCTGTCTTTCGATTCTGCACGTGGGACGAGTGTGTGAGGCTGAGAATGGGAGCGGAGCAAATGGCAGGACAGATGGATGAGATGAAGTCACTGCAGTTTCCCTTCGGCAAGAGCACAGGCAGCTGTGAGTGAGTGGCTGCCCGCTGGGAGAGCCAGGCCCACCTGGAGGCCCCGCAGGGGCAGTGAAGACATGACCTGGGGCTCCTTCCCCTCCTCCCACGTCCTCGTCACCCTCCCAGCACGCGCAGAACAGCGCTCTCGGACGGCGACCGAGCTCTCGGAGAGCAGCAGCTACCGAGACCACAGCAAACCCCGAAGGCAGGGCGCGTGTTCCCGCCGCTTGTGTTTTGGTGGGTGTTTTGGAGGGGGTGGGTGGTAGGAAGGGCAAGGCTTTTATAGAGGCCAAAGCCGGGACGCTGGTCCAGGGGACTGGCAGGAAGGGCTGCTGTCCCTGAAGGCCAGGGCAGCTCCAGCAGAGGCCACACCGCTGGACATGCCCCCAGGGTCTCCTGGGTCTGGAAGGAGGGAGGCCCCTGGAGAGCAAACTTCCCCGACTCACACCCCAAAAGCATCTTGATTCAAGGTGGGTGCACAGAGGAGCCAGCTCTATCTCATTTGTCAGCTGGATCCCGGGCAGAACCTTCCTTTGAAACCCAGCGGCCAGGCCGTGGACGTGAGAGCAGGCCTGCGGAGGGACCGGGGCTTCCGGGACCACGGCGCGGTGGCGGCCGCGGGCTTAGGTCTCGAAGTACTTGTAGATCTGGGCGACGTACTGCATGACACTCTGCCAGTCCGGCCGGTCCGTGTGCAGCATCTCGCTGAGCTCCTAGGGAGGAAGGAAGAGGTCATGGGTGCCACACACTCTCCCCACAAAGCGGCTCGGACCCAGGCCAGGGCCCCGCTGTCAGAACCCCCACCCTGGGAGACGCAGGTGCAGGCAGCACCCAGGCCGTGGGAAATGTGGTCAGGGGAAATAGAAGTGTTTTCTTCTAATTCAGAAGACACCTTCCCTTTTAAAAACATGGGCGTGACCTCCACCTGCTCCCCTGCTAACAGCCTGGCAGCGTTAAAAAGTGTGAAGAGGGGAAGTGACCTCATTCCGTGATCCTGAGGGCCTCCACTTCTCTGGGTTCCCTGTGACTGCCATACTTGCTTCCCACTGACCTCCCCGCTGCCGAGGGAACTGCTGACCACCTCCCGGGACCCGGCCACCTCCAGCCCCCGGCCACCTCCCAGCCTCCGGCCACCTCCCAGCCCGGCTACCTCCCAGCCCCTGGCCACCTCGCAGCCCCTGGCCACCTCCCAGCCCCCGGCCACTTCCCAGGCCACCTGCCAGCACCCAACCACGTGCCAGCGCTCGGGGGGAGGGGGAAAGGGGCAGCTGTGTTCAGTCACAACACTCTGCAATAAGCATTTTTGGGCAGTTTTGTTTCCTTCTGTCGAATTAGTACCTTAAGATGCATTCCCAAGAATGAGATTACCTCAAAATCCCTGAACCAATTTAAAATGCAAGTGTTTGTTTTACCAGAATCCTGTTACCAGGCAATGCTTTTTGGTTACTCCCTGCCCCAACGTAGTGGGCAACAAGCAGGCGGAGAGCAGAGCCAGCAAGTGCCAGGCAGCAGGGCTTGAGTGGTCTGAAATCCATGCGTTCAATGTGCTTGACAATCACTTGGGGCTGAACTTGGATTCTCTCGTGGCTCCAGGAGAGTGGGGAACGGACCCCAAAGTAAAGGCAGAAACAAGCGCAGCGGAGCATGAGGCCAGGCTCTTACGGCCTGGAGCCTGTCATCCTGTCTCCGCATCTAAACACAGCTCACTGGTTCTGCTCCCTTTACCCCAAGAAATTACCAGCATGTCACTGGTCGTGAAAGGGGTGGAGAAGGAGTAAGTGGAACATTCTACACACATACACCTAGAAAAACTGAAAAAGAAAGTTTTCACAGAATATAAGGATAAAAGTCTCCTGCCTAAACTACTCATGGGCAAAATAATACCAACTCTACACAATCTCTTCCAGGAAACAGAAGAGGAAGGAACACTTCTAAGGCATTCCAGGAAGCCAGCATTACCCTAACACCCAAACCAGACAAAGACAGCACCACAATCTACAGACCAACTCCTCGCCTTAGCGCAGACACAAAATTCCTCAATAAAATAAACACCAGCAGGTTGAATCATGGTCAGTCAAGGCTGGTTCAAAATCTAGGACTCAATTGGCATGATTCATATCAACAGGCTAAATAAGAAAAACATACACTCCTATCAACAGATGCAGAAAAGCATTACACAGAATCTAACAACCATTAATGAAAAGCTCTAACTAGAAGGGACTTTATGTTACATAAAACAGAATATATACCAAAACCCAGGAGTGGATGCCATACTTAGTGGTGAGACGGAAAACTCTTCTCCAAGATCAGGGGAAGGGATGAGGCAGGCACGTCCCTCCCCTCTCCTACTGGACCCTGTGCTGGGCGCATGACTGTCCATGGGCAGCAGGGCCCTGGGTGGGCACGCACTCCGGGACGCATCAGCCGGGAGCACTCGCTCGGCCGGCCCTTCGCAGTGACAGCAGTGCTGCTGAAGGGTCCACTTTGCCTGTTCTCACGCTGCGGCGATGCTCAGTGTCACAAATGGGCTGAACTCCGTGTTACACCCGTCGAAGGGAAATTCCTGTTAAAATTTGGGGAACAGTGTAGAGCTTTCACTTATAAAAAATCTCATCCTGGGGAGAAACCAAGTAACACCTGAACTGCTGCCTCACACAACAATTTCAAAACTACAACTAAAAGACAGAACAGACATCTTCCAAAACCACAAGAAAGCTGGCTGAGTAGAAATTCTACAACTAGAAGGAAAGAGAAAAGATTACGGAGAATCAGAGGAGCTGCAAAGGTACGGAGGCGCGCGCAGAGAGGAAGGGTGGCTGAGTGCCTGGCTGGCTTTCTCTGGCGGGAGGAAGAAGGAACCTCCTGACTGCACTGAACCCCAGTTCCAGGCAAACCCCTGGGGAACCCATGCTGTTATGGGGGAAATCTGGACTGTCAGGCAGAAACTCAGGGGAGCCTCGAAAGGCAGTGGTCTGGAGGCACGTGCGCAAGGGCAGGGCTGACAGGAAGCCAAGACTATCTACTCAACCCTGAGACTCCACCCCATCCAAACTGAGCACAGAGGCTTTTGCAATTTTTCAAGTCTGGTCCCATAAGGCTGTCTCCAGCACACTTCTCCCAGCGTAGACACAACTGATCCTCACAGCCAATTGGCCTGGGGATCAATTCCTCTCAGTGATACCAACAACAATCAAGACTTAACTACAACAAGGCTGTACACACAGTCCACAAAGAGATGCACCAAGAGTGTCCATTTCAGGTAACTGGGAGGTTGACTCACTGGCCCATATAGGACACCTAGCACACAAAGCTACCCTTCCAACTCAGAGAAGCAGCAAAAATGAGGAGACAAAAAAACAGATCATAAACAAAAGAAATGAAGGAAAACAAATGACTGAATATAGAGTTCAAAACCACGGTTATAAGGTTTTTTAAGAATTTCCTAGAAAAGGCCGATGAATTTAGTGAGATCCTTGAGGATATGAAAAAGGACCAACTAGATACACTGACTGAAAAAAAAAAATATATATTATACAGAGACCCAATAGCAGACTAGAGGAACATAAAAATCAAGTCAAAGATTTGAAATACAAAGAAGCAAAAAACACTCAACCGGGAGAGCAAAAAGAAATAAGAATCCAAAAATTTGAAGATAGTGTAAGAAATCTCTGGGACAACTTCAAGCATACCAACATCAGAATTATGGGGGTGCCAGAAGAAGAGAACAAAATACTGAAAACCTATTTGAAGAAATAATGACTGAAAACTTCCCCCACCTGATGAAAGAAGTGCACAGAACCCCAAACAAAAGGAACCCAGAGAGGACCACACCAAGACACATCATAATTAAAATGCCAAGAAGAAAAGAATAAGAGAGAATATTAAAAGCAGCAAGAGAAAAACAGTTAATTACCTACAAGGGAGCACCCATATGATTGTCAGCTGATTTCTCAATGGAAACTACCGGTATGCAGGCCAGATGGGAGTGGCAAGAAATATTCAAAGTGATTTACAGTAAGAACCTACAACCAAGATTACTCTACCCAGCAAAGTTATTCAGAATTGAAAGTCAGATAAAGAGCTTCATAGATAAGAAGAAGCTAAAGGAATTCATCACCACCAAACCAGTATTCTATGAAATGCTGAAATGTATTCTTTAAGAAGAGGAAGAAGAAAAAAAAAAAGTTACTGCCAAAACTGGTTTGGATCAGTGGATAGAGTGTCAGCTGCCTCCTGCACACCCCCTACTGGGGATGTGCCACAACCAAGGTACATGCCCTTGACTGGAATCAAACCTGTGACCCTTCAGTGAGCAGACCAATGCTCCAACCACTGAGCCAAACTGGCCAGACTACTTTCCATTTTAAAAAAAAGTTTCTGTTTTATATCCTGGGTAATTTACATCTATTTTCCAGTTCTGTAGTTCTCTCTTCTTCCATATCTAATCAGTTTTTCAAGCCAACTGGTATTGCTAATTTCAAATTTTCATTTCTAGAAGTTTTGATTATTTCCCCAAATCTTTTTTTTTATTTTTTATAATAACATGCTCCTTCCTTATGACTGTATTCCTTTGATCTCTTTAACATGTTTAAACATAGTCTATTGTAGCCTCTTTCTGTCTTATTACCTTAGGTTCTAGTGGACAAACTTCTTGTTTGTTGTATCTGCTGACAAGCTCAAATAGGTCAATTTCTTGAGTGTTTTTAAAGTTTGTCTTGTTAGCAGATTTCCAGCAGCTGCGGTACTACCAGCCAAGGAGCTTCCCGAAGTAGAGGTAGGCTGGACGAGGGGCTTCTTGCAGCTCAGGTGCTACGATTTGTATTCTAACCTCATCCGGCCGGTTCCTTTTCTCTCAGGAAATCCCCCTCCCCCCCCCCCATTTTTGGCCACAAAAATCTGATGGGAAGATCGCACTTCCTATCGCACCTCCCTGGGGGCAGGTGGAGTTTCACACCCGCTGTCACTAAGAGCAGCACTCTGAGCCTCGGTTCTGTGCAGGGCTCGGTGCTCAAGCTCTGCTCATGGGAGCGCAGCCCCCCCGCCGTCCCCCCGTGTGGGTGTGAAATAACACCCACAGGTACTCACTGTTCCAGGCCCTCTACCACTGCCCCAGCCCCAGCCCTGGGCTGTCAGTGTCAGCTGTGCTCATGCCTTTGATTTACTTCATCTCATGCCCTCAGAGGTCGCTGGTTCGATTCCAAGTCAGGCACATGCCCAGGTTGCAGGTTCAGTCCCCAGTCAGGCACACACGTATGGGAGGCAACCAATTGATGTTTCCCTTTCTCGCTCCCTTCCTCTCTCTCTAGAAGGCCAATACAAACATATTTACAAAAGGACTTACTACAAAAACCTCTCTAAATCATATGTGGTCTGACCAACTGGGTAGCTTTATATTAGAAATCATGAGTAACACATCTTCAACGAATGTATTTCTATGTTCTGTTAGAAACTGTTAGTAGACGACAAAAAGTTCTTTATCTCATAATTAGACTAAAATATAACAAGAATACAAAATAGGATACTTACCAGGCTGGGCTTAATGCCTACACTTTCGGCTGCTTCAAATGCCAACAAGAGATTCCTTTTCTAAGGTGAAAAGACAGAGAGACTGGAATTACCTACTAAAAACATACAGCTTTGGCTAAGACCACCACTGACACTCCCAGATAGAAAACCTAAATGTCACTTAAAAATTTAAGCCAAATATACAAACAATGGTCTCAGTATAAGAAAAAAATAAAACTGATAGATAACAAATGTCACGAAAAATGACTTTACTGACTCCTGACTATCAGATACATTTTTATTAATTCTGTTATTCTTTATTTTGTCTAGATATATAGCATATATTTCTGCTGTATGACAACAGTTGTTTGTTGAATTGTGGTGCTATATAAAAATTATTGAAGCAATGTGTACACACAGTTAAATATAATCAAGTGAGAAAACTGTTCTTCCCCCAATCCTGGAGCTTGGGAGCCATCTCGAATGTCTGTCTCTGGTCCTTTGGTGATACCGCCTTACGCCTTAGCATCCTCCCACAGTTTCTTGATTTCTAAAATAATACCTCCTCACGCCACCTACCCATTTCCTCCCGGAATAAATGAGGACTCGGTATCACGCACCTCTCTCTTTTCTTCCTTATAGTCTTTTGGCTACTTTTCGTTCTTCTACTATGAATGATGTTCGTGACTTTAAATAATACCCTTATATCTCCATTTCTCATTCCATCAATTATGGACAGCACTTCCTCCACTTTATACAATGAGGATGTTCCTTCATCTTATCCGGTTTTACTTTTTAAATTATTAAAACCAAAAACACTCAGTTCCTTTTTCATAACCACATTTAAGTCTTCTCTCCTCTCTTAATAGGATGATTCTGAAAACCAAAAACAATAACCAGCACTGCCAAAGCAGTGCACCCCGACTGCACTGACTCCTCTCCAGTTCGTCACAACGCTGTCACTGAGACCTTTCTCACTAAGATCCTCCTCTTTGGGACTCGGCCATGTCACCATCCCAGGCAGGTCTTCGGTCTGGACTCCTTCAGAGCCTCATGCCCGTTTCTGCACAGAGCCGGTAGGGTACACTCAGGTGTCCTTACAGGGTGTGGAACAGCACCTTTTCCGGAAGCATTCATATGGGAACATTTCTGTACCATCACACGGGTCAGGAACTAGGTGAAAATGATCTTTCTGGAATTTTAAAGTTACTACTTCATAGTAATTTCCCCCTAATTTGTTGCTTCTTTGTGAGATTCTTTCTGGTTGTTCTTGATGTTTCTTCATATGGATACATTTAAGAATCACTGGGCCATGCGTCCTCCCCTCCATAATTTATCTGAAAGTCATTGTGATTACATTAAAATTTAATGAAGTTAGTAAATTAAGTGTAATTGGGAGACGTGTTTCTGTACATATTCATGTTTAAGTTCCAGTAGAATTTGAAATTTTACCCATTTAGATTTTGTAATGTCCCGAGGCCCCTAATCAAAATCGAACTTCTAAAGCTCTCTCAGCAGACGGCCCTGCCAGGAGGACACCTGGGGTCATCGCTGACTCTCCTCTCACCCTCCCTCAACCACGGTCCTACGTCCAGTCACTACGACATCTAAGATATATTTAGAGTATCTTCCAACCTCCTGTCTACACTGCTGCACCCAGCTCAGGGGGAAGCCAGACATGGGTGAGACCGAGACTGCAACAGCCTCCATCTGGCCTCCTGCTCATCCTCATTTCCTGTCGCCGAGCTCCTGGAAACATGAAGAGTGAGTCTCCATTATTCAGGCTCCTTCCGACTTCCCATAGTGCTTGGAGCAGCTAGCAAACTTCTACCCAGCGTCCCTGGACCCCCTGGGCTCAGCCAGTCTGCGGGCACCTTCACAGCCAGGCCCCTCCTCACTGCACCCCAGCCGCCCCCTCTGCTGCCCAGAGTGCCCCAGGCTTTTTTTGCTCTGCACCCCCAGCCTTGGGATCTCTGCATGGCTGGCTCCTTCAGGTTCCGTCCTCAGCCTAGCACCTCCTCAGACAGACCTGAGCCTCCTCGTCCAGTGTACCCACTGTCCACACCGCCTGCTTCTCCATCACCCTCCAAGCTCAGTTTCTTGCTTGTTATGTTACTCTCTGCTTCCTCACTTGCTGAGTCTCGAGGCCCAGCACACGCGTGCTCTCCCTGTGGTCTTTGCTATTGTGCTTGATGCCCGGCAAGAGCCGCGTGCTGAACGGGCACGTGTGGACGCACAGCCTGTCCGGACGGGCCACCCGTGGGATGTGCCCCTGCGGGAGGTTTGGGTCAACGTTCGGCAATTAGAGCCTGCGGGCTGCATCTGGTCTGCTGTCTTTTTTGTAAATAAAGTTTCATTCTAATACAGCATGCCCACATGGCCCATGTCCCTCCAGTGGTAGAGTTTAGCTGTGACAGAGACCCTCAGCCCACAACGTCTACCATCGGCCCTGAACAGGCAAAGTTTGCCAACTCTTGGTATAGGGACAGGACACGCTCGGTGGCCCGCTGGCGCTGGGCTGACGGAGGCAGCGGGCTCTTTAACGGAGGAGGCTGGAGGCTGGGCTGCCTAAGGAGCTCCGGGAGAACCTAAAGTGTGATACAACGGACCGTTTCCCAAGCTTGTTTGAGCGAGAAACTCCTCTTGGTGCTGTTCGTTGGTTCTTTGGAAAAGACACACACACCTCACTCTCCCCCGGCCCCTGCAAAGGTGAGAGTCGTTAGTCAAGGGGGTGACGGGAACTGTCAGCAGCAAGGGAATGGCTGGAAGCGCGTCTCAGAGGCCGCATGGAGGGTCCCGCGGCCCACACCCAGCAGCTCGCTGTTTCCCCTCGGCGGTGGCCTCACCTTCTCCTGGCTGCTCAGCTCCTGGTACGGGATGTGGGCCGGCAGGTAGGTGTGCAGGAGCGCGCAGAAGGCCAGGCCATCACTCCAGCTGCTGCTGAAGTTGGTGATGTCGATGTTCTGTGGGAAAGAGGGGCCGTCAAACCGCGTCACAGAACCAGAACCGCGGGCTTGCTGTGGGCAAGACAAGAAACGGCGCAGCCTGCTGCAGGGAGTGCGTCGGCTATGGCGCCAGGACCAGCAGCTGCTGCCCAAACCTGCTCCCAGAACAACCGGAGAAGAGGCTGCGAGCTCCCACGCTCGATTTCTGTCTGTCCGGCGTATGGGAGGCCGACCACCCGGCTAGCTCCGCACATGCAGCGTTGCCAGGGATGGTGCCGGGGATGGGCAACCCTGCTAACCATGGCTGGACCAGGACAAGCCCCCCAGGGCCGGCTCGGCCCTCCCGCCACACCCTCTCCTGCAGCCAGCGGCTTCCACAGGGCACACGCCAGCCTCAGCCTCCCCGCTGGCACACCCAGCACGGATCCTGGGGCTCATGGGCAAGGAGCTCCCTGCGGGACAGGAGAAACCCTTGGCCAGCTCCACGTGGCAGTCCTCAGGGGGACCGGTTCTGACAATCCCCTGGGAGCCGGGGGCACCTCCACCTCTAAACCCTCACACCTGTCCCCACTGCTTCCTGCTCCCCGACCTGCTGATCCTAACAGGATTTCTCCCCTGCCTCCAAAGCTTCTCCCAAACTAACATCAGGTCCCAAAGCCCACGCCTCTCCCCCTGCAGGCCGAGGGTCTGGCTGCACAAACGCACGGAGGCAGCCTGCGCCAGGCAGGGGCGTCGTCCTGCTGCGCTGAGCACTTCTGCTCCAATCACAGGACTGGGAGCGTGGGGCTCCTTCCTGCCTCTCCCCGCAGCTCCTGGGGGGGGCAGCAGGCTCTTCCTCAGAACTGCAGGAGGCAGGCAGCCTTGCCAGCCACGGAGAAGAGAGTGGTGACAGCACTTTTCGGAGTGGCCCTGGTTACCTCTTCCCTCAGCTCGAGCCCAGCGCAAACTTGCCGTCCCAAGTCCGCACCACCCTGGACGGCAACCGGGAATTCTCAGCGTGTGAGGACGGAAATGTGGACCAGTGGCTCTGAGGCTGAGTGTTGACCCAGGACCCCAGGAGGTCACGGTTCATTCCCAGTCAGGGCACATGCTGGGTTGTGGGTTCAATCCCCAGTGTGGGGCGTGCAGGAGGCAGCCACTCAATGGTTCTCTTTCATCATCGATGCTTCTCTCTCTCTCCCTCTCCCTTCCTCTCTCTAAAATACACTTTGAGATTTTACAATTTCCAAAGAGTTTCTGTTACACAAATAGAACGGGTGGGGCTACAACCTGCCCCTCCCCTTAGTCTCAGCACTGAAGCCGGGGTGTGGGCTCAGGCCGGAGGGCACGAAGGACAGGACCCGGGGCTGCAGGAAGTGGGTGGCACAGCTCTCCAGGCCGCACCCTTCCTTCCTCTCTCTCCCCACAGTGGTGCGGAGACCATCCCCACACTCGTCCAACTGCGGCGCTGTGGCCGGTGGGGGAAAGCCCGGCCGTATTCCTGGCACTTGCTTGTGGCTTCTGCTCATGGTGGAGGCTGAGGCGCCTGCATCACCTCCTGAGGAGGGCGGGCGTGGTGTTTCCAACACAGAGGCCGCTCCACTTACTTATTCACTTTAAAATGTACATTGCTATTGATTTCAGAGGAAGGGAGAGGGAGAGATAGAAGCATCAATGATGAGAGAGAATCAGTGATCGGATGCCTCCTGCACACTCCATACTGGCATCGAGCCCACAGCCTGGGATGTGCCCTGACCGGGAAGCAAACCATGACCTCCGGTTCATAGGCCGACACTCAGCCCCTGGGCCACGCCGGCCGGGTGGAAAGGCCCCATTTTAAACAGAAGTCCCTTAGGTGGTGCTGGTGGAAAGCAGAGACATGGCTGAGTGTCTGTGACATGTCTGTCCCCGCCTCTCCTCTGACCTCCAACCTCCGACCTCAGGACCCGCTCACAGAGGGCCCTGCCTGCCTGCAGAGGAGGAAGCTGAAGTCTCTGGTGGATGGAGTCAGGATGGAACCCAGTCCTGTCAAACTGCAAAGCACATGTCCTTCATTTTTTCTTTCTCTTCCTCCCGCTTCAGCCACATTCCTTTACAGTTTACACCAAAAGCCTCTAACGCTCGATAAACATGGAAACTCTTTGGACACACACCCCTGGTACCATGCATGCCCCGGAGCATCTCTCTTTAGTGTTATTGTTGACATTATTCGATGACCCGCCCTCATTCTCCTTTATCTGCACACTTTTCAGGAGCAGTCTGAGGCCAAACGGACCCGAGGAGTCCCTAGCACTTTAGTTAACTGCCATGAGAAGACAGCTTGACGTGTAAGTGTAATAGCTTGAAATTATTCGCTAGATTATGAAACTGGGTGAGATGAAAGCCAGGGTTGAAAATCAACCAAAATGACGTCCAGCCTCAGGAGCCCACAGCCAGCTCCTGCCCAGGCACCGGGCCCCGCCCCGCGCCCCACCCTGCCCGCGCACCGCAGCAAGGCCGCAGGGCCGTCCACAGGGAGACTGGCTGTCCCTCCAAGAAAGGGACACGGAGATCCACTCGGTCGTGAGCCACCCCGGGCCGGGAGAGGCCCCCTACACTCGCCACGTGAGGCCTGCGAACTGCTCTGACGCTGGCAGAGGGAGGGCAGCCATGACTGATACTACATTCACCCCAGGAACATTATGCCATCAAGAGGAAACTCTCCCCTCCTACCCCTGGGGCAACGGGAGAAACCTGCATCGCTACCAACAATTGAACACACGAGCACACTAACCAACCTATCTCTCCCCTCTCACTTCTGAGTGCACACCCCAATTTGAATTTTTTTTCGTAGAAAGACGTGAAAATCTCTAATTCTAGCTGAGCACAAGAGTTCAACAATTCCCAAGTCAAAACGGCTGGCTGACAATGCCAATGTGTGAGTCTGCAGCGCTTCAAACACCGGCCTGCAGGGCACTGCGCCCATCCAGGTGCTCGTGGCTGGCGCAGGGGGGGGGGACATGCTGTGCTGCTTACCGAGGGCACACGTGGCAACGCCAGGGCTCGCTTTGGTGAATGAGCAGCGAGTTGGCGTAGCAGCGCATTCTGTAAAGCTCAGAGAGAGATGATTCATGCTTCACCAGATCTTTCTCTCACCGCATTTTGGGAAAGCCCCATCATCTGAATCACTGGTCACTGTGGACCTGTCTTGCCATGACCTGAGTGGGATTCTGGACTCCTCAGCACACCCGAGGGGATGCAGCGGGAGCTAACGCAGTGATGCCTCACTGAGCAGGGAGAAGGCAGCGTGGACGGGTCACGCGGACAGCTGAGGGACGTGGTGGCAGTGCAGGCTGTCCACCAGCTCTGGGTGACGTTTCCCTGCACGGAAACCCGGCCAGGCGGGGTGGGGCCCAGAGGTGCCTAGACCCAGTCCCACCACAGCCGCTGGGAGGAAAGGACACCAGGCAGGAAGGGATGCACAGGTGGAGAGGGGACTGTGAGCCTTGCTGAGCTTGTGGGCAACAGTCCTCAGTGGTTCCAGATGCAGCCTCCGACCCAGGACAAAAGGAAGGAGAACACAAACACCCCAAGGGGCTTATCGCTGCCCTCCTTTCCCCAGTTACCATGCAGCTGAACCGCAGGGGTTCAACAAAAGAATAACTTAGAGGAAAATGAAAAACAGCCAACAAAGCCTTCGCCATAGATATGTCTTCAATTATCTTCTTGAATAAAACCGACTGGATCATGTCCTCCTGGATGAGGAGGGTCTGGGTGCTGACAGTCCTGCGTCTCTAACCCTGACACTGTGGTGCGGGCACACTCACCTCCTGAAAACCCACTGAGCTGCACACTACCCCCCAGGGGCACTAGGGAGAGGGAGGGGAAGGAGGGGGAAAGAGAGGTGAAAGGAGAGGTGAAGGAGGGGGAAAGAGAGGAAAAAAGAGGGGGGAAGAGAGGAAAGAGGGAGGAGGAAGCGGAAAAGAAAGACAGGCAGACGGGATCGTCTGACGGGACCGGGCTGGGCTGTAAAAGAAACGCTGCAGCCATGGAGCTTGTGTGCCGTGAGGGTCACTGGGAGGAAAAGCAAAGGGACGAGAAAAAGAAACTTGCTGATTCTTTCCCCAAGGGAGGTGGTAGCTACTGACTGAAAACCCTCTTTAACTTTCTCTAGGCTATAAATACCTCTGAGATATTTCCCAGTGAGAGAAGTTCTGGGGAAAGGAAGTCTCCCGTATAAAAAAGGTAACTTTCCAAGCATCTCCAAACAGGCTGCGTCTCCGGAGCGCTGAGAAGGAAGAACCGTTGGGAGACACAGATGCTGCCCTCCTTGCAGCCAAAGTCGCTCAGAACCTGACCCTGACCCTGACCACCCAGAGCCTTCCCTTAGGGAGCTTGAGGCGGGGGGGCGGGGGGGGGGGAGGGGGGGGCAGAGTGCCAGAGGGTGGGAGCAGAGGCAGCCGGGGACAGAAGCAGCAAAGCAAACCCAGCCGCCCACAAGCTCCTCTGATCTGCCCTTGTTGCCTGGAGACCAACTCTGGGTGGAAGCGGCCGCCAGAACCGGTGGCCCATGCAAACGAGGTGACATTTAACCTTATTTCTTCTTCATCTTCTTTTTGGGTATATTTTCCAATTGTTCTACAATGACCACGTATTACTTTTAATTAGAGAAATAATACATATTAAAAATATTAATGATATCACTTATTGTCCTGCAATTAATAAGAACCTTAATAATTGTACATTTCTATGTTGGAACAAATCCTGGGGTTTTCTTTTTTCCAAAAAACATGTCTGAGGAAGAAGAGCAAAGTCTTGACAATAGAGTAGGGAAGGCAGCTGCAATTAAGAATGTGCTGGAAAGGCAGGCTGAGACCTTCTCGTTCCATTCTGAGGTCAGAGGTGGCTGGGTTCTCGGAAATCTCCCAGCTCCCCTGGGACCCGAGCTGGCCCGAATGATCGCTGGAAGGCAGAGAAATTGGGGACTCTCAGAGCGAGGAAACAGGAATGACCCTCTCTTGGGGAGCCTAGGCTTCGTATGTGTGTGTCTGCCAGCCAAG